GACTCCCACATGTCAATTTCGGCCCCATTATATCCTATGAGCCATTGAAGTCAATGGCAAAAACATAAGGTATATTCTGGGGGCTGGAGGGGAGGGGGTTAGAGGGAAAGGCTCCAAAAACACAAAGTAGCTGCTGGAGCCTCTCCACAAGATACCCACCAAGTTTCAAGAATATTGGACCAGGGGGTCCAATTCTATTGGCCCCCAAACAGGTTGCCCCCCCTCCATTGTTCGGCGGGCGGGGAGAGGCGCACGAGGGAGGGGGGAGGGTTCCAAAGGCCTTTCTCTGCCCATCCACATTAGCGGGTGGGCAGGGAGAGGCACGTGCTGGAGGCTTACCTTGCTGCTGGGGGCGGGGCTGGCGGGGCTCCTTCCTGCCGGAGCACTGCTTCGGTGCACTCCGGCAGGAAATGACCCCTGACACTGCTTATCATTTGGCTTAAGACCTCTGGTCAATGAAGCTAATAAATGAAAGGAAAGGCCACCACTTATCAATTCTCTGATCAAGTGCTTCTTTTGCATTTTAACAGAAATACAGTAAACCAGACAGAGGATTCAGCCACCTAGCCCATTGTTGGTCCATACCCTTTTCTACTTTTATAACTTTCATCTCCTCTCACATCCCTCAGGAGAGCCATTTCCTGGCTACCGTCACACTCTTATAGTGACTAAGACGTGAATCCATATTTGGGCTCTGAAAATTGGAAGTGCTCCCTTTAATTCTAAGGGGGAACCAAATGGATAGTAATTTGTGTCATGAGAGGAAAATATTTTATGTTTTGTATATTTTTTTGCATGAATTTGAACATGAGGCATACATTTATGGTCCAATTAAGAAGAAGAGTTAGTTTTATACCGCACCCTCCACTATCTGAAGGAGTCTCGGAGTGGCTTACAATCACCTTCCCTTCCTCTCTCCACAACAGACACTCTGTGAGGTAGGTGGGTTCTGAGAGAACCGTGACTGGCCCAAGGTCACTCAGCTGGCTTCATGTGGAGGAGTGGGGAATCAAACCCAGTTCTCCAGATTAGAGTCTGCTGCTCTTAACCACTACACCACACTGGCTCTCAGCCATACATCCACGATAGGTCATGAGTTCTTATCAGAAAGAAATAGCAAAACAGCACTTCTACAAGTGGACTCACAGAATACCAGTTCTGCCCTCGTGAGTTTTGGCTTTATTTTAAATTTTACTTATACCCTGCCCTCCCCACCGGAGCAGGCTCAGGGTGGCTTACATAAAATGCAGTAGCTAAAACAACAATGTAAATACAAGCTTAAAAACACAACATAAGGTGGTAGTGAACAATTTAAGTGGCGATGGTGAAAGCAGGGTAGCATCAGCATACTCGTATCTTAACTGCAAAAGAATAAAATGGAGGAGACAACTATTAATCAGAAAAGCTAAGTTGTTTATGAAACCTAAGGGCATAAAGCTGGCCACAGTCCATGAATAATGAAGCCTCTTATGGCTTGTGCTTTATTTTATAAACATAATTTCAGTTTAACATTCTAGCATCCCCATCCGGCATACTTCTCAGTTCCAGGATATTTGCATTTGGGAGCTATTATCTCATTATTATAGTCCATGGCATAGCCAAAACCTGCTCCTCATCCTAGACAGAATTAAAAAATGGTAAGGAATTTAAACATGCACTAAGTTGAACTCCCATAGTATTTCTTAATATGGAAAGTTTTGGAAATCAGATCATTTTAAATCCAAACTCACAATTACTACCATAGAAGTTGAAAGGGTCACATAACACAGAAATATCACCAAGGGCAGAAGAAATCAGGTGAGCCCAACTATCACATAATAAAAGTACAAAGAAGTCCCAATACAGCTAAATCCAAAGTGCATTGTATCAAGAGATAGGCACTAGATAATTCCACATTATTAAGGATTAATTAAGAACATTGGCATGGATCTTATGGCATTGTTCCCCTTGCACTCCTCTCTGGCCACTGCAGAGGATTTAATCTGCTATGGCACCTGCTTTGTCTACCACTAGCATTTCTGTGTGCACAAGATGAATGTTTTTCAAGGAGCTCTTATGTACATGGAAATACTAATGGTAGTGGAAGCAAGTGCCATAGTGGAGGAAAGCCTCTGCAGTGGCCAAAGAAAAGTGCAAGGGGGCCAGTGTCATAGGATCCAAGTGAATATGAACAATGCAGCATTTGGATTTGTTAAAAAGCAACTTCATGGTACAGCATACTGCTATTTACAGTGTCATCCTAAGCAGAGCTCAAGTCAATGGGCTTAAAAGAGTGTCACTCTGCTTAGGATGGCACCGTTAGTAATATCCTCTTGATGCCTGTTTAATTTAATGGTACCTTTTGTGTTTTCATTACACAATGGAATGGATTATTCTAATACTTGTACAACCTTTGCACATTATCCAGGTTTTTATGGTTTGCATTAATCATCACCTAGGGAGCACGGCGGTTAGAAAATTAGAATAGTTAAACTGGCAAGACTGTAACTTCTAACTGTTATGCAAAGTTTTGTTTCAGGAATGATTTTCAGGCATTGAAGCAGGATAAATGGCAACTTCTCCTGAGTCACAGGACAAAGAAAGAACTTGCCTGTCTTCATTCTCAGCCAACATTTTCTTGGCTCCTGGGACTAAGTTGATTCCTTTTTATTTCTTCCCCACCCTCACCTTTCCCTTTCTTATTAAATAGGTGTTTATTATGTTAGGAGCCTCTTTCTAAGAGGAAAAATCAAATTTATATGAAATGGTCACCGGATAAAAGTGTGCTCAGGGAACCTTCTGTGGTTATTCTCATGGAAATATCTTTGGACTTATGAGCTGTGGCAGTTGCAGTATGTTCATGTATGTTCATGCATTTTTCAGCCCTGGCCGTTTATAGCACAGTAGGGCCAAATCCTTTTGCACTTGAAACTCCTCTGACACAGCCTCCAGGATACACGTGGGCAGGCCCATAGCTATGGTGGGGCATTTTGGGGCTCCACCCCCTCAAATGAGAGGCACGCCCCACAACAACTGATGCCCCTCTTCCCCTTCCCCTCCTGTGAAATTAAAAGGGCCCTCCAGATGATCAGTGGGAGCTGCAGCTGGAGAGCCCTTTAAATTTTGCAGCCACACCTCTATTGCAAGAGGTGAGGGAGAGGGGTGGCTGTCGGCCACACACCTTCCCTGAACAAAAGTGGCGATTTCACCACTTGGAGATCAGGCATGGGCAGCCCCGACTAGAAAAACAGCATTTAAAGGGAACCATGTAAATGCTGTTTTTCTAGTGGGGGCTGCCCCCACCTGATCTCCAAACAGCAAAATCACCATTTGGAGTTCAGGGAAGCCATGTAGCCACCCCTCTCCCTCCCCCTCCTCTGCTGCCCCACAAAATTTCCCCAGGCCCCACCGACCCAAAATTTCTGGCTACAGGGCTGCATATGGGTTTCCCTAATAAGGCATATAGTAGCCCCAGGACCATTTCAGGCTGGGAAAACTATGCTGAAGTGAAGCCCCTTCTCCATGGTACCGATCTAAATTGGCACCGTGCATGCAGGGGCTGTGGGGGGAACTCATCACTCACATCTGACTGAAAGGGTGAGTGGAGAACTCAGACACAAACTGTGTAGACCGTGATGTGTGAATCATCCTTTGAAGAAGAAATAATCTTAAAAACAGCATAACATGGAAAGAAAAACAACAATAAAATAACTTGCAGTAAAAGCAGTCTAAAATACCAGCAGAATTAACAAAACTAAGCAAAGGCCTGAGTAAACAAATCTGTCTTAACTTAGTGCTGAAATCTTAACAGTCTTGGTGTTGAACTAATAGCTGAGGGACGGATAGCAGAGATTGCATTTTCATCAGTGGCCATCCACATTGCCTCAGAAGGCACGGGTATCACATGACAGGAATCCCACAGAGGAACATCCACACTGCATCCTCCCTAGAGGGCCTTGCAGTACATAAGACCTTTTTCTACACATACCCCTTCCATCAAAACCAAGGCATTTTGCTAGTTGAACAGCCAAGTTTTACAACCCAGGCATTTTGCAAGTTGAGTAGTCAATTTGGTGTAGTGGTTAAGTACATGGACTCTAATCTGGGAGAACTGGGTTTGATTCCCCACTTCTCCACTTGCAGCTGCTGGATGACCTTGGGCAAGCCATAGTTCTGTCAGAGCTGTTCCCTCAAGGACAATTCTCTCAGAGCTCTCTCAGCCCTGCCTACCTCACAGAGTGTCTGTTGTGGGGAAGGGAAGGGAAAGGAGTTTGTAAGCTGCTCCGAGACTCTGAGTGAACGGCGGGGTATAAATCGAATCTCCTCTTCCTCCTTCTATTTAGACAGAGCCACTAAGGCCCATGGATTAAGCACTGGCCTTAGATTGAACTCCAGGTCTGCTGATAGGGTTGCCAACCCCCCCCCCCGGTTTGCCAGGAGTCCCACCCACAGCCACCCATCTCTCTCCCTTTAAGGGTGTGCAACCCGTGTTTCATCCCAAGCGCGAACTCCACAAGCTTGCAGGGAAAAGCCAGCTTTGTTCTTAAAAGGGAAACACAGCTTCTCTTAAAGGGGAAACGCCGGCTGCTGGCTACTTTAAGTGCAGGGAACTGCTGTTTCTGGAGATCCAGTGCACGGCGGGGGGGTGGGCGCGGCAGACGTCCCTAACGTGACGTCATCACGTTGGGGATGCCCCACCCCCTCCAGGAACACCCTCAAAGTCCCCCGCTGGGGGTGGAAGATGGACTTGGCAACCCTATCTGCTGAGGTTGGTCCTGGACAAGTCACTACATCTAAGCCTCAGAAATAATAGCAGTGATGCAGGTTTCACTTTCTTTTTTGGCTACATAGATGGAAGAAGCTTTGATGCATATGCAATAAAGGGCAAAAAAATGATACACTAGAATTTAGAAATATCACTTCTTTTTTGCGCACAGTTGTTATCTTCAGGAAGCATACATGCAATAGAGAAATAGTTCCTCTACTGGATAATATATTTTCAGTCATACAATTTATTTTACCTGTAATAAACACGAAGAGTCTGGAGCTCTTCTTCTAGCTTTTGGTATTGATGAACAGCAGCCTCTCTTTCTTGTTGCATAGCCAGCAATTTTTCCTATAAGTAGATAGTTGGTTAAATTTTCTTTTCCTTCACTCTCCAGAACAAAAAAAAGAAGTGCATACTCTATGAATACTTCTATTTAGTTATCTGAAGCATTATTAATTTACAACTGCTTTAACAGTAATAAGGAAGGAATTTCTCCTTATTCCATTATATGATTCTGCTGGCGCCAGAGAGCGTTTGGAGGGTACCATTTATTTATTGGATTTCTACCCTGCCCCTCCCACTGAGGGAAGTCCAAACCCTCTCTTGTTCTTCGAATTTCTCCTTATTCCATTATATGATTCCGCCGGCTCCAGAGAGCGTTTTGAGGGTACCATTTATTTATTTATGGGATTTCTACCCTGCCCCTCCCACTGAGGCAGGCTCATGGAAGTCCAAACCCTCTCTTGTTCTCCCCAAAATGACTGATTCTCTGACCAGCCCAGGGTGCCCAAAGCCACTGCAGCATCATGAACAGTATTTCCTCAATTCCCAGGCTGGTTACTTGAAAACCCCTCACTCATACAGTGCAAAAGCTCATGAGACCTCTACTAAGTCTGATGTGGGAACATGTTGAGAAAGAGGTAGCAGAGATATTCATAGGAGCCGCTGAAGTGCTGCCACTTCCATTGGTTCAGAAAGGCTACCATGGCACCCAGACAGAACACTTACTACTCACTAACAGATTCCTGTGCCTGCTGTATCAGCAGATGGCAACAAGGATGCTGAGCCTGCAGTGGCCCATGCTGCAGGATGTATTGCTGATGGCAAGAGATCAGAAGACATGGTTATGGCCACTGATTTCAATATCCTCAAAAGGGGGTTAGAGAAATCCATGGAGAATAAGGCTTACCAATTATTATTGGTCATGAGAGTTAAATTTAGCTCCATATTTCAGAAGCGGTATGACACTGATTTTGTGGGTTTCTTAGGGAAGTCAAATTAGCCATTGTCAGATTCCCCCTTGCCAGGACAGAGTCCAGTGTTTGAGCACCCTCCAGCATCCATTTCTCTGGGCAAAGACTGAGAACAGCCTCAATCTAGAGTTATAAGGGGTCGCGAAGAGTCGGACTCGACTGTGCGACTGAACAACAACAACAACAAGTGCCTAAGTTCCAGACTGGAATATTTATTATTTTTCTGGTTTACCAGTGTTTTACTCCCAATATACACATTATAGAAGAGATTAGCTACAATCCTTACATCATTTCCCCCTTCTTTTGTGTTAAATCCACTTATGCTGATTCATACACTGGGAGTAATTCTTGTGACACAATTGCAAGTGGGGGGTGGGTAGGTAAGGGTGAGAAGAATCAGAACCCATGTCTCCTGACCTTTGTCCTAAAAGGATATCAGGTGTGATACCTCTCTAAGGAGTCTAGCTGCTAATCTCTCAGTGAGTGGGTGTGTCTGTAACAAACATTTCCTACCAGTCTGCCATTTCAATTGCACTTCACAGTACACTGAAAATTGTCAAAGATGTTAATTATTGGCCTCTCTAACAACCTACCATCTTTAGTTCCAGCAGGCTTTCCTCAATATTTAAGAAGGTTGTTTTACCAGCAGTATGGTATAATTAAAGAAAATACTTTGGTTTTGCCAACATTCTTAGATTCTGTTGGTTTTATTTATAAAGTCCTTTTAAAAATCTTAGGCAATAATTGTCTTCAGAGTCCTGAAGAGATTTTAAAGCTGCACCAGATTTCAGACATAAATGGTTCAACCTACAATAGACAGTTTTAAATGGTAAATTCCAGGAATTAAGGTTTTCCTCTTTAAAATTTAGAAGCAAAGTGAATGCTGCTGAGTTAGTTTGCAAGCTAACTCTTTTGGCCACAGCTACACTTTATATAAGGAGCTGCGGTGGCTCAAGTGGTTAAGACACTGAACTGTAGGCTGTGGAAGGTTGGTAGTTCAGCAGTTTGAGACCCGAGTTGCCACATGACGGAGTGAGCTCCCATCTCTGGCCCCAGCTCCTGCCAACCTAGCAGTTCGAAAGCAAGAAATTGCAAGTAGATAAATAGGTACCACTTCAGTGGGAAGGTAACAGCGTTCCGTGCGCCTCGGCGTCTAGTCATGCCGGCCACATGACCACAGAAACGTCTTCGGACAGCGCTGGCTCTTCAGCTTTGAAACTGAGATGAGCACTGCAACCCTAGAGTCAGACTCGACTGGCTTTCGAGCAAGGGAACCTTTACCTTTACCTTTTTACACTTTATATCAGTGTTGCATATTAGCCCACTCATACTTCTTTTAGAATATTTCTATCTAGTCATGTGCTTCTGTTAATGTTTCTATATTCAGAAATGCATTGTCAGCAGAGCAACGTATGACATTAAGTAGAAGCTACACGTAGAGCAACTTACATCTAGAGCAAGGTAACCATGTTCTGATCTAGAGCAAGGTAACCATGTTCTGACTCAACAGTGTTGTACATTTCTACACCACGCCATTGGGTGCCACTGGAAGTATTCTAATCCTTTAACACCATACTGTACACAGCCTCCTTGCTGTGGCAACTCCATTCTTCTCAGGAATTTATCCTTATTATCATGCCTTCTTGCCAGCAGGTGCAAGTGATATCAGCAATCCTGTTCAGTAACCCTCACCCTCCTGAGAGGATGAGGAAGGCTCATTCCCTTCTAGTATATAGGTGAGACTAACAGTGCTTTTAAGAAGGGCACATGGGATTTCTTGACTGAGTTAATTTTTTTGGGACACCATTACTTTTGCAGACAGTATCTGACTTGTTTGGTTAAGCATTGTAAGTGTCACAGTAAGGCATGTATTTATTATTTTTGGCTTCTTGCTGTAGTCTAACAAGTAATCACAGATGCTAGGATCCAGGAGATGCCGACTCCTATTATGCCACTGGAATCATCTAGAGAGCCTACAGGAAGACGTTGTAGTCTTGTTTTATCTTCTCCAACTACCTCAGTTCTGCAATGTGTTCTATTTTCAAACAATGCATTTATATAAGCCTACAAGTCACAACCTTGATGTGTGTCCTGAAACAGCCCACTAGGACATTACAGACACAATGTTGTGTATGTCTCACCTATTAGCCTGCCATCTCTGAGTTTATCAAGATACTCAAGATCCACATTTTGGGAACCTGGGATTTGCAGCTTCCATCCATATGCTGAATTAGGAGGATTAAAGAAGCAAGTGTCTATTGTGTCCTATAGGAATACCTCCCTGCATTGGTGGTGTGCTTTTGTATAGGGAAAAATATATCCATAGCATTTATTCATTATTAACTATTTCATGTTATAAATAATCAGGAATTTTGCAAGTGATCTAGCAGTAACTAACGGAATATTAAGTGTGATTGTCATACAGAATAGCCTACAAGTAGACATTTTATTGGATAGATTACTATAGAAGAGCTAAACAGCAGTGTTAATTTATCTGGAACACAGTGTGGGAAAGAATTTCAAGGATTATACAGTTCAAACCCCAGCATTAAGAGATAGGAATCACTATACTTCAAGAATGTCTGACCAGTGTTTATCTATAGCCTTCCTTAAAAAGTCCATTGACAAGTTTCTATTACTTAATCTTTCAGTTAGAAATCTTCTTGAACATTTTAATCTAATCTATTTACAGCTCTACTGTCTCTCACCATACACTCATCAGCAACAATTGTTGTTCAGTACCATTGTTCCTTAGCTGATGCTGCTGTGGTCTATTGTGTTTCTTTGACTACTGTTATCTTCTCTTTCCTGGATTAGTCATATTGGTGATCCCAGGGTCATAGACATATTGCTATGTATCCAACCATATTTGGTTTTGTAATTACATCAATAAGGGAAATGCTTCTTAGGTCACTTACACTGACCAGTTACAGTGTACAGGAAGACATCACAATACTGTGTAGCCAATCAGATTTGGTGAGGTTATCACCTACCCTTTGGAGGCAACTGGAGTTAACTGAGAGGAGAGGGCATCTCCCTTATAAATAAAAGCTAAATGGTGGTGGCACTTCTCTAGAACATTCCACATGCTCCAAAATCAGTTTGCTCTCTCATCTGTCATTCAGAGGGTCTCCCTATCCACTGGCTGCTTTGCCTGAGTCCTGCCTCCAACATTCTAAACATTTTGCTATTCCTCTCCCCCCCATAGCCAGTCAGAACACAGAGGTTATTTGCATGTGCAGCCTCATTGGCCTTTGCCTTGGAACACAGAGGTCGTTTGCATATGCGACTTGATTGGCTTTTGCCTCTAACATTCTAAACAGTTTTCTGTTCTGAGGTAAAATGTGTCCAATCTTCAGGTGAGGGCTGGAGATCCCTCAGAATTACAACTGCTTTCCAGATGGCAGAGATCAGTTCCCCTGGAGAAAATGGTGGGCTCTGTATCCTTATATGCTGCTGAGGTGGCCCCCGTATGACAGCCAATGTGACGTAGCAGTCAGGGCTTCATAGCATGGGAGAGGCTGCAGGTGTGTGGGGGGTGGAAAGCTGAAGAGTGAGGGGGAAATAAAGGTAGGTTGATGATTGGCTGGGAAGGAGATAGAGTTGCCAACTCCAGGTGGGAAATTCCTGGAGATGTGAGAGATGGAGCCTGGAGAGGGTGAGGTTTCAGGAGGCGTGGGACCTCGGACAGGTACAAAGCCATAGACTCCACCCTCCAAACCAACTATTCCCTTCTGGGGAACCATCGTTGCCAATCTCCAGGTGAGGGCTGGAGATCACTCAAAATTACAACTGTTCTTTATGTGGCAGAAATCAGTTCCTCTGGAGAAAATGGTGGACTCAGTGTCATTATACCTTGCTGAGGTCGCCACAGCAAATTGACGCTGAATGTCCAAGGCCGGGGCACCCACCCAGAGCCTCTTTCTAGAGGCCGTTGTATTTATTTCTACAACGAGCCTTTTTCCTAGTTATAAATAAACAGGCCAACATTTCCACAGGTATCAAAAAACTGTTAGAAGAAAGAGAAGATTTTTTTGCCACTGCCAAAAATGTTCACAACTCCACCCCCTACAACAGTAATATCAGCTCCTACTT